TAAGAACTGCAAACATCTGCATTAAAGTTGTAGCCGGTGAAAAGAGATCGACGGCACACGACACAATTCCCATTCGTTGTAAATGCAGTCCTTAATATTCCCTTCTTCTTACGTGATAACTGTTTTGGAAAGAATTATTTGGTTTTCGTTTCGTCTGCACCGACTCTATCACTGCTCTTCGCCGGCAAAAGCGCTACTGATCGGCTTAGCAAGTTACTCAGATCTCATATTGCTTACAAATTTCACCAGCATTTGCAACCGATACCGACTATACGTCAATCGTACTCCTAGAGAAATTGTTTGATTCTTTTTCTCCGCCCCATTTGGTTTTAAAAGCTGACAGATTCTTCGCCAAGAAAAAAATTCCTCATCAAGTATGCAAAACATATAGCAGTGCAAGAGGGGATTTGTATTAAATCAGTTCACAGATAAGTTATGTTGAAGGTAATCAGTTTCTCAATTCTCAAAATGCATGAGCTTGTCCAGACCTGGCTGCCACACCCATAGGTTGTTGAAATTCCCAGCAGAATAATGGCCTCCAACGATCTTCTCGACACAGCCATCCTTGCCACCCAATGCTTTGAGCCAGTCACATGCAGTGTACACGAATTGAGACAGAGATATCGTCAGTGCAACTTCGAGGCGCAAAATTCATCGATATTCTATTTAATTTCATCAAAGAATATTTTTGTTATGTTTAAGGCTGCTACGTAGACATACCTCTTATTAGGCCAGTTTTCGCTCCGTACTGTAAATTACGGACCGAGTTTTTAAAAAGAGTTTCTTTAAAAATTTTGGTCCTTATAGCAAGTTACGGACCGTAAATTGACGCATCGCATGGCGAAAACAGACTCAGCCACATAATAAATATTATTTTTCACTCACGGCTTGGGATATGGGTAAATGTTTTTTGGGGAAGAAAATTTTATTTAAATTGAAAACAGAAATTTTGGCAAGAAAGCACAAGTATTCTGATCATGAGGAGATATACGCAGATGTGACTCTCAGATGTTCTTTTTGAATAACAGAAAACGATCAATAATAAATTATGTTTGACTTAAAATAAGGCTGCTACATATTATCTTTTACTTAAGACATGGGTAAATGGTTTTTGGAAGGCAATGTTAATTAAATTAAAAACAGAAATTTTTTCAAAGAAGCACTTTGGTGAGTCATGCAAATAATTTACTTGCAAAAAGTCTGAAACATGTCCTTTATGGCCCCACTGACGTCCATGCTTACGGTAAACGCAGCCACATAATTGGACAGGCTTTAGCAATTAGCATTTCCTCGATATCAGTCTTCAAAGCCTTGAAGATCCAGTGGTAAAGCACCTGAACCTATAAGATTCACAGAGCAATGAAAGAGGTTTCTTGCCTTTATCCATTTAATTTCAGTTGTCAGCACAATTTTTTTCGTTGTCCCATCCTGCTGAAATGACGAATATGACTAATTCCACTTCATTTTTTATATTAACAGGAAAATGGAGGTTCTTTTTGTATTGTTTCTAATGCTATGCAGCATTACAGCTAAAGGAAATTCAGGTAGGAGTAGTTCATATTCACTCATTCTGTTAAGTACAGTAAAGCCTAAGTAAAACACGATGATGTGAGCCAAAATGCTTCAAAAAATGAATTTATTATTTTAGATTATTTGCCATGATTACGAAATGTAACGAATAAAAATAATGTGGTTAACCCCCATGAGACATTACGATGTTTAATTTTTGGTTAAGGGGCAATATGAGTCACCCTTTTTCGGCCCTTGCTGCTGTTAAGGTATCAGCCACCCTTCAGGACCGTCCGCGCGCGGATCGCTGTAGCGTTAGTTGTTTTTATAAAAACCGCTATAAACCATATATTTTTTAAAAGCTTAATAAGTCCAGATTATGGATTTGAACTAACAAAAACTATTTACTTAAATGTGTTTCGAAATTGGAACGCTTCGTGTAAAAGTACACGTCTCTATAAATCATGTTCCACTCCCGCCGGAAATAAACAGAAGAAAACAATTAACACAGCATTCGCTTCTCAACACGTTCCACCAAAAAACCTTGTCTCAGATTTTTGACAAGTGCGTTTGTTTTTCTTTTATTAGCAAATGAAGTTGGGTAAGGCAATTAGTCAACACTCCCTGTGGAAAAAAAGCTCTAGCTTTAAAATGAAAAGGAGTATTAAAATTCGCAGACACGGTTTTGTAGAAGAGATATATGGCATCACTCTGGCCAAATTTTAGCCAAATTGATTGAAAGCTGCCGACTTGGAGTTCAACACGTACGAGTCGATCGGCAAAATTTGCGTTCGGAGATAAAATAGAAAATACATTTTTGGCCGCATCCTACCTGGAATGAGATTATAACACCTAAATGTTTATTCTGATTGATATCAGAGAGGAATCAATTTTCTCTAACAATAGGACTTTGACAGGTAACATGTAACAGGAACAAACTTTTTATTGCTATCAACATCTTCAAGTGAACAGTTTAATTCTCCGTTGGAAAACTTCCACTCTTTTACACCACGAGAAGCACGGTTTAATTCTTTCTCGAGCAAACGTTTTGCTTCTCCCTCGATCTTTTTTGTATGATCCCGCCCAGGCAATTTTGTTCATCGGCGCCAGGCCAAGGAAACTAACAAACTTTGAAGCCGCCGAATGTCCACCACCGATTGCTCGAAGGCCAAGAACTGAGGCCCGGTTTATTTCAAACGCTCTGCTCTTCTCGGAAGAAGTAAAAACACAATTTGTCTTGTGCGACGGACAGCTTTCATTCTCGCACTGGATTCTCCAGGTAGAACCACGTCCATGCTTAGTCGCTACATTTTCCATGACTTGGACTCTTTCCTGGCAAAATCGACAAGATACAGACTCGTCCAGTTTCTCAAGCAGCTTTTCGCTCGATACGATAGCTCGACCGCGTATTGTTTTCCACGTTCCATCAGCAGATGAGGTCGATGAGCTTAATTGGCTTTCTTCATCTGTTTCTTCAAGCTGGATTTTGGAGCGGCTTGCACTCTCAGCAACTGCAGCATTTATCCAACTCCTCGAGCCACTTCTCTTGCGGATAAAATTAGCCCTTGTCGCTCTCTGCCAATTTTGCGGTCCATTCTTTGTCAAACTCGCTCTTCGATTTCTTTTTTGCTCTCGGTTTCGATGACGAATACGGACACGACCTTTTCTTTTTTTTGCCGGCATTTTCACCGAAGCAAACGCTAAATATCCACGGAGAACACTAAAGGCTATAAACAACGGGAAGACAATTCGCACGTGTTGTGTCGAAGCACGCACTCGGTATCACGTTACTAGTTCACAGGCAAGTTAATTGATATATGACACGGGTATGACAGACCTTGTCAACGATCAATTAAGATAATTAACGAGAAAATATCTTTTACCCCCGATATCTTTCGACAGAAATATTATTTTCTTCTGATTTTTTTTTTAAAATAAAGCTCTCAAGCATATCTATTTGAAAACGTTGAAACCTCAAAGATGGAAAAATGGCAATTTTAAGGGTGGCTGATACCTTAATCAGCGGTATACGTGCAACCTTGTTCACAGGAAGGAGAGGCCGGCCTCTTAACAACTTTGAGGATTTTCTCTGTAAGGAAAAAAAGGGGGATTCGAATGCATAGGTATTTGACCTGCATCAACTTATCCGAAACTGAAAATTCGGATTCGTAATGAATTCGGAAAAATTTCCCGAGAGTGTGAACCTAGCTAGCCCTAGACAAACTAGGAGAGTTAAACTGCAAAAGAACAATCTAATATCTATGATGTTAATGTACTATTAATCCGACTGGTAATTACTAGAAATGACAAATGATTAGAAATTGTGCATTTGATTTTGCAGAATGCGGTTCAGTAGTAAACAATACTGCACTAACAAGTCCAGGATATCCAAACTACTATCCAAGAAACGTGGACTGTACTTGGACTTGGGAAATTCCAGCAGGAAAAATTCTGAATGTGACCTTTGCATCATTCGACATGGAACCTCGGTGGAATTGTTGGTAGGCGATTTAAATGTGAAGTAGAAAAGGGTTGTAAAGTCCTCGAGCCATATCCATCTTAAATCAGTACTATAGAGCTGAATCTCTGCTAACAGACACCGGCCTCCAATAAACGGCCTTATTTCATAGTTCCATTGGGGGGTTGGGGTCAGGTATAGCTTAAGCGCAGTTCGAGTGTACTTTTGTCAATAGACCTCTTTAGCTTATATTTTTTTTGTTTTCTTAATGTAGGTCATGTGATAATACTCCAGAGAACTGTGTATTTCACGATTTTTTCTCGTGCATATTGTACCCATAATTTATGAAAAGAGAAAGGGGGCAAAAGCTGAAGCTTAAGACTTAAGACTCTTTAAAAAGAGACTATGGCACCTGCGAACTGGAGTTATTTATACACCAGTCTGTCAAGAGACGTGTATTCTTAAATGAATTTTCATTTTTATTTCCTTTTAAGCACACACTTGTTATTCTGCTTTTCTAGTGACTTTTCTTCCAACAGTCAAAACAGTAGAGGTAAACCACTCTGCCTTAACTCAAAACACATTCTACGCTCGCTTGAACATTTTCCAGAGGTTTATGGTCTTACTAATTCGTCAAGTTATTGAACAATTTTGTATATTAATTCGGCAAGACAAAGCATGACAAGATAGATCGTCCCTTACTTTTTCATGGAAAAATAATTGTTGACCAAAGCGATGGGCGTTAATAATCTAGCAGAGAAGTAGTTACATACTCCTGCATTAGAAGCGAAGAAGCTTACCTGGCTGCAATGTACACAACATAAAACCGCAATAATATTACAAAGTTATCTAAAAAAGACCAGTTACGGACTTTTGTGGGCAAAATGCACGAACAAAACAAATAAATGAAATATGTAATCTTGCGCAGGTTATCAAAGCAAGTTTGTCACCAAAATAAAATTTGTTTTTTGTAGAAGAAACAAACGGTTTTACTGTTTCATCGGGCCTAGATTTTTTATTTTCTTGTAGGGAGGACTATTTGAGCATTTACCATCAAAGCAACGTTCTGATTGGCAGATATTGCGGTAATTTGACGAACAATTTGGCAGTGATGGTTGCCGGGAATTACACAGTGATTAAATTCCACTCGGAAGACGTTAAGAAAGAAAAGCGTGGATTCAGATTGCATTTCAATGAATTACCTCGAAGTGGTGAGTGGAGTCAAGGATCGACCCAAGCCTAATATATCTGTTTGCTCGGGAAAATAATTCTCAAAATAAATAGTTGCTGAGGGGCTTTAAATTTGACAGGTGAAAATTTCCCTCCTAGTGGAGGTTTTGAAAACTAGTGATCCTTTGGGTCTTTCTGCAAATTTTCTTGTTTCAGATTAGACACATTTTATTTTGGCCACATTTGATGTCTGTTTAAATCATCTTTAGACTTGGAAGGCGGGAGTCGTTGGTCACTTAAAATTTTAAAACGACCCAACACAAGCCCACCGAAGTTAATGGCAATTTAGAACCCTGAAATTTATCAGGAAACAATAATGGAAGGTATTCCCATGCCAACTACTTTCTCTATGAGTGTTACTTTTTTAAAAACTGTTTTTCTGCACTTTGTATCCAAATTCGCTATGACAACATTTGATGCTTTGTACTATTGCGGTCGACAAGAGGAGCCCGCAATCCTAATCTCCAGGTTGTTATTACGCATGCGTCACATGTATGTAGCCAGCATTCGTTTGGACTTCCACTAAGAATGGATGGAATGCACAAAACGCAATTTGATCACGCGCGTTTCGACCTGCTACTCCTCGTAATCTGATCCGCGCATGTTTTGACCATCTGTCAACTGAAACGTAGGCAAAGCACAGCGTTGGAGCAACTGAGCGTTTGGATCTGCGATCGTTATCGCCCTCCTAACCTTTGGTTATTACTAGCTTAAACTTTGTTTGCCAATGGGTTTGGCAAACTTTGGTCAGCCAGTATCAGTTTTTTAAAAGTTCTAAGAAAGGTCGGACGGTTCTGTTGTACATAGTAATAAATGTAGACTTCAATTCCAGATACTCGATGAAAATATGAAAAAAGGTCGCTTTCCAGGTGACCTCATGGGAGGCATCGTAGAGAGCCAAAATCAAGTAGCGAGTCAAACCAAGATGAAGGCCAGAAAAGGCATGAGGACACAAGGCATAACGGACGTTGAAACTTTCAACCGGAAGTTCAAAGAGACTTTTGCAGAAACTGGCACCTTCCTTTTTCGACTTCAACGTAAAAAAGCAATTCAAGTTGTTGTTGTTTGTTTTGTTTTGCTCCTTTTTTCTTACAAAAATAAAGGTTGCTATATTTGTAATAATATATGAGCAAATTATTAAAAATGTACACACTTACAGATAGAAAAGAAATAAACGTATATTTTTCGATTATCTCTTATTTTCTTTGGCAGACCTATGTGGTTCAGCGATGGACAATACACTGAGATCCCCTGTATACGTACAAAGTTATCCACCAAATATGCACTGCGTCTATAATATTTCACTTCCACATGGCAAGGTGCAAAAACTTACATTTCAAATATTTGAACTGGCGTTTGATCAAGAATGCAGGTGAGAGTACTATTTGTTGATTAAGCCCGTTTTCCATGTAATCTGTAAAGGCCTGCGGTAGCCAAAAGCTCTATTACCATAGTTGTCAGTTCTAGCTCTTTGCCGACAGAGTAGTGAACGTGAGGCTTCAGTCTGCAGTCTTGTCTTCAAGGAAAATCTTCAATTCAATCCTCTTCTCAACTGAAAGCTAGTGCAAGTTTTTTTTCTCTGAACTTAAGTATCCCATTAGGTATGCCATACAAAAGAGTATCTCATCAAGAGATGAAATTTTAAGTCCATTATACGAAAGATAGTTTCGCATGTTTCCGATTAATTGATCTCATCACCAGATTAGCTCGCGGAGCAATACGCATAGCCGAAGGGTAACAAGAACATCATAATTCGGGTGTTTAAGGTTGATAGAAACATAAACTTGACTATCTTCAGCATAGAACATGTTTGTCTATACCTGACTGAAAAAAAGGTTGTCGCTTGAAAAGTATAAACCATGAAAGGTGGGACCTAATGGATTTTTGGGTTCTTTCCAGGAATGTTTACATATCGAAGCTTTTAGCGACGATGCATTCCAAAAAAGGTCAAAAGAATGAATGAATGAAATACCTTGAGAAAGAAAAGAGACGGGGAATGGAATAATCATTTGCTTTGTCACACAGTATATACCGGTAACAGATGCTAGGGTATCATTTATAATAAAATTGCAAGCTATTTTTGGTGACAAGGATACCAATCTTTCCGCTGAAAACGCTAAGTTCACGAAACAGTCGTCATCTTTGTGTTGAAAAACCAACGAAAGTGTTATCACCATACACATATGTATTCTGAACAGAAGCATATAAAAGGAATTTGTTTATTGCCAACCCGTAAATGCTGAATATTTCCTTCGCAGATTCGACTACTTGAACATTTCAGATGGTGATAATTTTATCGGCCAATACTGCGGTGACCTAACGGGAAAAGTTATTTTTGTTTCACGAGACTACCTGGTGTTGACATTTCACTCAGATGAGATATTTGATCCTAACAAAAGAGGATTCGAAATCATTTTTGGGGAAGATGTTAACGCGCCTGGTAAGTGAATACAAACATCTATAACAACAACATCTATAATTCAATACACAGTCAAGAGAAAGGTTATGATAATATATATGATCACGGAAGGGAAACTTCTTTGTTCTTATATCATATGGAAATGAACGGAGATCAGAGTGGAGAATATGTTCGCGGAGTTTCCAGTTTTCCTTGTCTGCAAGTATAATGGTCAAGGAAAAGACTGAAAACATTTAGTGTTATTTTGAGATTGCTCTCGAAAAAAGGACCGGTAAGTGTTGAATAGCCTAAACTAGCCGACATTTCGTGACCCCACAACTGGTTTTCCGGCTGAATGACGCCTGCAGATACTGATCACGTGTCACTACCCAGAGCTGGGTAGTGCTTCTCATAGGTTGTCGAAAACGAAATTTGCCTCAGCCGATCAGAAGCACTACCCAGTTCTGCGAAATGACACATCATCAGTGTGGAATTTCTAGCCGTTCTTCAGACTTCACTTCTCGGGGAAACCATTGGTGGGGTAAATCGACCGTTTTCTCAGACCCCGTATTGAATTAGTTTTACTTTGACCGTATCTTTCAGCACTATGTCCAGTAGGATGGATACTCAGCCTTCATGGTTCTTGCTACAAAATATCTTCCAACAAACTGGACTGGAACTCAGCGAAGTCCGCCTGTAACGACCAGGGATCAAGCCTAGTTATACTGAACTCGTTCGATGAAATAGGAGAGCTGATCAAAAGAACAAAGGGCCAAACGTGGATTGGCTTAAAGCGGGATCTTATGAACCATTCAAGCTGGCAATGGGTGGATGGGTCTGACGCTTTTTATAGCTACTGGTTGAGTAGAGAGCCAAACAATTACGGAGGCAACGAAGATTGTGTTGTAATGAACCCCCACATAGGAACATGGAATGACCAAGGGTGTTGGATATCTCATTATTACGTTTGTGAAATCAACGGTAACACAACTTTCTATAATAATAAGTACAATCAAAAAGTAAAGTAAATTGTAAATTGTTTATTTAAGTTCGCAATAAATCTGGATATTTCCCATAAAGGCAATAAAGGTAGACTTCTTGTATTATAATAAAACGAAAATCTTTTATATTCCAGCGACAAAAATACCAGCAGTCAGCGAAACAACTTTTGATTCCTCTGCTTATGATAATATTCGTTCATTTCAGAAATATTAGAGACCTTTAGATTCTAGGGTGAGAACGACTACGAGTACGAGATTTCATTTAAAGTTTTTTTCGCGTATTCTCAAATAATAGACACCGTGGATAGCTTCATTCTACATCTTTTTCGCCAAAAAAATTAGCTTTATCTTTATTGAATGAGGTTAAACTCCCAGCTACAAAATAATAACACCTATAACACTTTATAACTCACTTGTGACCGCTAACACACTAACTCGTAGTAGAATGACGACAACTATCACGTTTCCCGCCAAAATGACGCTGGTTCACACGCGCGCACTACTGAGTATTGAGGAAATAGAATCTAAAGGTCTCTACTTGTGTTTCGCAGGTTGCCCCCAGGACTGGATTCAAATCCTCGGCTGCTGTTACAGAGCCTTTTCTTACGCACTGGATTGGTTCGCGGCAGAATCGGCCTGTAAGGCAATTGAATCTAGTCTTCCTATGGTGACTTCACGTGCTGAACAAAATGCCCTTGGCTCATTTCTAACACAAAGCGCGTGGACTGGTCTGCACAAGAATCCCAGTCACAATTCAAGTGGGGTTGGTTTGGTCAGTGGTTCACAAGGTAGTTACGGTCATGAATTACGCAGTCAATTGGAAAGTTTAACGGGCGAGGGAGATTGTGTAGAGATAAATTCGAAGGGACATCTGAAAAATAGAGACTGTAGTCATCACCATCGTTACCTTTGCACAATATCGGCAGGTAAGTAAGAAAATATCATGTGTTTCTGGAAGAGTTAGAATTTCTGTTCCAGATTATGCTTGTGTATATTGTATAAAGGTGCCAGTCAAGAATCTTAAAAAAGGTACCACTCTCTTGAAAGAAATGGAATAAAAAGAAGACAGAAAAATTAATACTCGATAGCAAGGTCCATTAACCCCAACCGGAGCGACCCACTCATATACTAATCACGGCGTTTCCACAATCATCAAGTAATTTTAGATTCATTGTAAAGTACTTTTTCCAGCAAAAATAAATAAGCCCCCGGTAAAAAGCACGAAATGAATTTTACTTTGCTTATCTTTCACACTCTGTCTATATATATTTTCAAAAGGAACTAAGTGCAGAAAACCTTCACTGCGGGATGATGTAGTTGTTTCACCTTCCGATTGTCTTTTACCAACTCACCCACATGGAAAGATTTGCTCTTTTTACTGCGCCCGTGGATATCAAATCAGCGGTCCATCATCTGCTCGTTGCGGGATTGGTGGATCATGGAGTGAAGATGCCAACACCATCGTTTGTGATGGTTTGTATCTCGATTGTTTAAGTTTTCCTTCTCCCCTCAATTGTAGCGTTAAAAATAAGCCATTGTTTACAATTTTTTGGATTGCTGTCAATCCAACCCGAAAGCTATTGAGTTTTGCAGATTAGAGCTTCCAGATCAAGGTATTCTTCCAATTAGTAAATGGGACGCCTTATACCAAGTTTATGCAGCATTTTTTTAATTGTCATCTTTATATAAATAATCTTCAGTTTTAAAATAATCATCACCACACCTGCAGCCAACACTGCCACCACCATTACCACAATTATCGTTATGATCACCGTCATTACCATCATCATTATCATCATCATCATCATAAAAAAAACAACAACAACATCATAGTGATAAGTATTGCTACAATCATTAGGACCACATCATCTTTATCATCATTACCTTTTACATTCATCAAACCCAGCTGCATCGGTTAATGTCATAGCCAGATTATCCAGTCAAAGAAGAGTGCTGTCCGAGAGCCGTTGTTGTTTGTTTATATTCAATAGAATGTGAAGAAGCTCTCGGTATGGGAGACGGAGAGATCTACAACGGGCAAGTCATTGCTTCTTCGCAACTGGATGCCGAGCATGCAGCCATCAACGGTAGACTAAAGGCTATAAGAACTTCAAATAAAGTACGATCGTGGTCACCTTATACCAATAATGTTAAGCAATGGTTGCAAATAGATCTGGGCAGTCAAGAGCGTACCCTTGTAGCAAAAATTGCTACTCAAGGGGAAAATACTAACAGCACGTGGGTCACACATTACACATTACAGTACAGCGACAATGGAAATAAGTTCAATGTTTACAAACAGCTAGGACAAGGAAAAGAAAAGGTGAGAGGCCTCTTCTTCGCGATCGCCAAAGTTAAAAAAAGCAGTTTAGCCGGCATTTCTCCACCAACCTTTAAATACGTATATATTTTTCTCGTGTGCACATTTGGTCAGAGTAAAAATATGTCTGGCAACCCGCTCCCTTTGAGGAATGCAGCAAGAAATGAATTTATTGACTGAATTTAACCCATGTGCGTACTACCTGGATTTTTCAGGTGTTCGATGGCAACACAGACCCGGATACCATTGTTTCTCATAAACTAAATCCACACATAACAGCACGGTACATCCGTTTCCTACCAACCGCTTGGCATAAACACATCTCTATGAGGGTGGAACTCTATGGATGTAAAGGTAATTAATAAACAGATAACTTTTATTTTAAAACATTTCCTAATTAAGTTTAAATCTCAGACTTGGATGTATGAAGTGGACGCCCATCCCCAACCTCCCTAAGCAGTTTACATTTATCTCAGATACCTTTTGACAAAACTTGGCAACGCACGGTTGCTTATTTTGGTTACGAGATATGAAACTATTAAAGGAGAGAGTTCAATCTATTTCCGAACAGTTTTTTACAGTTTTACCCTGAATATGGATATTATGGTAACAAACGAATAAAAGTGACAAAGTATAACATGATACACGATAAATTACCAAAAGAAGGAATGTACAAAAGAAAATTCTCTTTAGCATTAGAAGAACTGAGTTAATATTGAGATTCAATTTTAAAAAATAAAATCTTTCATGAGTCAATCTAACAAATGATCTTTCCTTAGGGACACCAAAATATGGCCACTGGTTCCTAGACGGTTCTGATTTAGATGTAAGGTTAGTATAACATATAAATAACCTACTGAAGACACGTTATGACAATGATGATGATGATGATGATGATAATGATGATGATGATAATAATAATAATAATACTCATAGTCACCATCATCGTTATCGTCAACGCCTTTCATCATAGAAGATTTATCCATGATAATGTTCTCCATGCATTTGACAGATATTCACAAGTCACTTTGTGCATGAACGGAGACTCCCTCCATATTTTCTCGTAGCTTCCAAAAACTTCGAAAGATTTCTTGTGGTATGCTTCTTTTAAGCTTAATATTTCATATGGATTTAAACCACAGGCAAAACATCGGAATTGTTCGAGGCATCGTGATGTCACGTGCGACATGTGATCCCATTATATCAACATCTGGGATCAAAAGGTGTAAAATTCTGTGTTTTGCGAAGCATTTCTACCGATCACTTGAATGAAGCCGAGCGCGGGCTTTATGAAATACAGTAAATGTATGGGATCACATGTCGCGCGTGACATCAAGATGCCTCGAACAGTTTGGGTGGTCCGCCTGTGTTTAAACATTAATTACTATAATTTTCATTTCGTAGATTTTTTGGTGCGGTCAACTACACTGAAGGTTGGTGCCTTGGAAGTAAAGCGGCGTATTTCAGTCAAAAAGGCTCCTTTGTTACTGTGCCCAAAGTAAACATTACAAACTGCGACTTTACAATTGCTTTTTGGATTAAATCCGGTGATACAGAGGGACCTTTAATGGCGATTTGGTCTGTGAGCGGAAAACTATTTTACGCGGCAATAAAGAATTCCAGTGTCATCTTGTCGATACATAACACTATAGCAAAAGCAAACTTCGCAATCAGTGACTGGAATCATGTTGCCATAATCTGTGAGGAGTCTAAGATCAAGGTGTTTGTAAATGGAACAGAAATTTTAACAAAGGAACAATGGAACGAGTTCTTCTTCTTATCGTCAGACCATCTTGAGACGGAAAATGTGCTAGGAAATCATCCAGTCCTGTTCAAGTTGCCATTGGTAAATAAACCTTTTGTCGGGGCACTGATGGACCTTCATGTAATCGAAACTGCCTTGTCTGCAAATCAGATTTCTGACTTGAGCAAAGGTAATCTGTTTAGCGAGTTTAACCAAATGAGTTTTTGAGTGACGCACGTCGACTGGAAGTGAGACGTTTTCGTTCTTGATACAACTTGACGCTGCCGAAATCGTAATGCCTCGTTGTCGTGCTCTTATAAGGGACTTTTACGATCGGCGGACGACGCGACGGCAGCGTAAACGTAGCTCCACTCGGGCGCAAATGATGCTACTCGGGCTACAAATAAACTATATGCCCTCCAAAAGTCATTTGATTGTCCTAGTGTTCTATAAATGCATGCGGATTACACTTAAAAAACGGAAGTAATTTTAAGGTGGTCAAGAACGTGAGCGTCTTGTTAGACGAGATGTCTAGACGGGGCTGATTAAAGCAGCTGGAGTGACAACCATGCAGTCGCGAAAGAATCCCCATATTTTGGTGCTGTAATCTTAATTGATCAGAAACAAAAGAATTAAACCGAATCCCTTGTAGCCTACACACAAGTAAATAACTAACTGATGACGATATATTTTTGTGAACCTAAGGCACGCCGAAAACTCCAGTTATTAACAAGAAGGAAAGCAAGTTAAATGGTTGCACAGTAAACCTCACATGGAGTCGTGACGTGTGTGCCACTACGAAGAACACCATACGCTTTAGGGTGATAAATCCACAGGGCTACAGAGCAGAACGCCGGGTACAAGAACATACTTCAGCGAAATCATATCGTCTATTGACACTTGACTGCGACAAAATCTATCAGATTGAAGTGTCTTCGTGGATTGGAGAACTCCAGAGCGACTGGTCTACTCCTTGGCAAGTTCGAACTAACTCATCTAAGATAGAGCAGCAAACACAAGACGTCTACTGTAAGTACTGCAAGGGAACAAAATAATTATAGATTGCCTTAACCCAAGCTGCTTAGGGCCTCGTCACCCGTCGTTGCGTGACTAGTCAAAACACCGTCTACGTGGAAGGCTACTTCCCCCAGGACAAGTAAGGCTTTATACCCGTTCAGAGCCGTAAAGTCATGGATGATGCCATTAAATAAGAAACAAACCAGAAAATGCCGGCCGCAAGAAAAATCGTCCTAGATGTACTTATAATTAATTCATCTCTCTATTATCTTGATCAGGGTAAATGGATGAGCAGGTCATTGCCACAATAATGAGCGACGTATAATATAAGTCACGTTCATGCAAACGAGAAAATTTTCTACCTTACCCTACGCGCACGGTCATTATTATTCAGAAGAAGGCCTAACTAACTGTGCATTATCCTCTTCATAATGTCCGTCAATATTTTTTTAAATATAGGGAGATTCTACCTAATGAAGTCACAAAAATTCCGTGAAAGAAGCTTCATTACCCGAACTGATAAAACAGCACGAAATTCCAAGGCAAAGGCATAGTTACTTGATATGAAAAAATCATTTTAAACTTGAAAAATCAAGTCAAATGAAGCCGTCTTTTTTACAACAGACCTTTTTGGCCACTTCCGCAGGCGAGATGGGGAAAACAAAATAGATTTTAAAAGTGATATATGCCAAAAGTTCAGAATGCAAAAAAATACAAAAACAAACTCCCGTAACCGAGACAATAACACCTATCCTCTTATGGATGACGTACATGTAAATTGCATGCATTCCATATCTTTTACATTGATTTATTTCTGTCTTTCTAGCTAACGATGACGCTATAAAAGCGTTGGGAATAGTTCTTGGAATCACTGCTACTCTTGCGGCAGCAATTCTCGTAGGGATCTACCGAAGGAGGCAAAAAAAGGGAAGAACGGTATGCTTTAATGGCACTGAAAAGTCAAGAGGGTTTACTCAACGCTTGTTTACAAAGTTGGACACTAACACTGACACTCGCGTCATATCCGACAATTTCTTCGAAAAGTAGTCCTCCGAGGAAATATAATAGTTTTTCTCGGACTCGAAAACCGATTTGTTGTCTTTTTTTTTGCGCGGTGTATTTTCCGATTGACGAAAGATCTAAATACAAAATCGGGTCAACTTTTCTGTTCACCATATGTTTTCGTTAGAAAACCGGGCAGACAAACCGTTACGTATAAACTGGCCTTTAAATTATACATTACAATATGTGCTACAGGCCGTAACCTTAACAGGAAGGTGCAGTGTGTTTCTTTCGTTTGTTTGTTTTTCTGGTTTTCGCTTTAAATACAGACGACAGGTACGTAGCGTGCTCGGGCTAGAACGAAGACAGACATGCGCACTGGACCCCCGTTTCAACTCTAAGTCAAATTGTACTCAAGGAAATCGAGTCACTTCTATTGGTCTCCATAGAAAGGAATTTTCCGTAATGCGTCCAAGCAACAGAGGCAACGAAGCCTTTCGAAAAGTGGGGGTGGGGCGCACGTGCTCATCAAAGGGTCTTTTGTACACGGGTTTCCCTGTTCAAAGAACCCAATAAGGGCGAAACAGGTGTCCATGGCTGCCACTGCCCAAATTTGACCACCGCCTTGCTAGCTCAGTTGGGAGAGCGCTGGTTAGCTGAGCGCGTTGTTCGTTGTGAAGATTGCGATTTGTGACAATGCATCAGCAGGCATTTGTTTAGGCGGTCCTGATTTATGATACTTTTTAGGTAACAAATCGTCTAGTGAGGGCACGAAATGTGCGCTTTGCAGTTGCCGATGTCCCAGTTAATGTCAAATACATCCGTAATGGCGATTGCAGACTTTTATCGGGGGGGGCGGGGGGGCTAGGGACCACCCTGCTCCTCCGCTTACGCGGTAAGAAAAACCGTTCTTCCGACGCAGTTTCTTCATAAATCGATCATGTACAAAACACAATTTTTTACTAATATTGGATGTTTCCTATTTAGATCCAAGAAAGAAATTGTTCATTTTATTTTACTGGAAGTCCCGCACCAGCGAGTAACCTTCATGGAGGAACTTGGTCGAGGGGCTTTTGGCAAGGTTCATAAAGGTGTGATGAAGGAGGTAACAAACGCAAATATATATCCCGATACCAGTAAAAGAAATCCAAATGTACATTCCAAGAACAGCCTACGAACATTGAAGGGCAATAAGGGACGAATTGTTGCTGTTAAAGTCCTTCTTGGTGAGCTACTAAGCCATTTTCGATGAATGTTTACAAATCATGTTCGATTAGCACGTTGTTAACGTAAATGAAGTTTGTGTAACTTTAGTATAGTCGATCGAAGTTCACTTCCATGTGGGATCAAAGGTTTCTCTTCCGACAATCTGGCGGACTCATAAAACCTGGTCTCGGTCGTTCTTATTGAAGGATTTTCTTCTTCTGTCGCCAAAGAGGCCGTTGAGGAGAGCTTCCGCTGTATTTTTTGCGTATTGTTGTTCTCAAGTTAAAAATCTATTCAACTGGTGCTCCATACTAGTCCAAGTGGGGAGGATCGTCACGTGACAAAAACTAATCACGGCTGTGTAGCAGACTACAATCTTGGACAAAATAAAATGGAGCAGCAAACCCCCATCCCCCCCCAAAAAAATCAAGGATGAAGCCGCGCGAAGGGCAAAAACGCGCCATTTTCGCATCCTTGATTTGGGGGGAGGGGGGGGGGGGGGTCTAGGTTTTCCATTTATTTTGTGCACGATTGTACCTCCATGCAGGACCGGAGTCTTCCTGTTCCTCTGCGGTCTCTTCTGCCTCAGACTTGAGCTTAATCAATATGCCATGTCACTTCCTTTGCGTGGGTAAGCAGCTCACAAACCCTCTAGATATTGTTTCTCTTGACTGATTTTACCTGATATCCTTTTGTTCATTAACTCCCGTTTCTGTTTAGAAAATGCTGGAGAGGAGGAAAAACGACAGTTTCTTCAGGAAATTGACCTAATGAAGGACGTTGGATCGCATCGAAACATTCTTACCATGCTCGGTTTTTGGACTCGGTCAGAGCCCATTATGTTGATCATGGAGTATGTTCCTCACGGAGACCTTCTGAGGTGGCTTAGAAACAAAAGGCAGCAAATAAAGCTTGTTACTGTATGTATCGATTTTTTGCCATTTTCTCACTAATAAAAATTTATATCAGCTTATTTGTTGCCCCGTTTCATTTCCTATAAATGAATAGCCTGGAGCATTTCTCAAAATGTAAAGTAAATTCAAATTTTTTGAACATGTCTTCAATTCCTGTTAACTAATTTATGAAGCATTGATAATACAACCAGAAACATGACAACGACTCTTTGGGTTAAAAAATGATAAATACAAGGGAGAGTAGACAGTATAGTGTACCATGTTGAAATTTAGGTATAGGTATAGGTGTAGGTATAGGTATAGGTAAATCATTAATATTCACATACGTTTCTGCATACTAATTCGGTATAGGTATAGGTAAATCATTAATATTCACATACGTTTCTGCATACTAATTCGGTATAGGTAAGGTCTCAGCATTTCACGTACCGTTAGTCAGTTAATTATGCGAGTTCGCAAGCCCAAAGTTGAATACAAATCAGCTCTACAGTAAGAACCCAAGGGAGCACCTTGGCGTGTTTTTATAAAAACACAAAACAATTAATAAATTAACAAGGATCAATTGAAACACGCGACTAATAAATCGCAATAAAACGAGCCACGTTTCTTAAGACACAACTTTATGATCAACTTTATGATCCTTTATTAAAATAATTGCAAAAATATTAGATTAAAGATTCTATTAAAATAGTCAAAGAAGGCAAGCAAGGATCATAAAGTTGATTTCTTGTGTCTTAAGAAACGCGTCTGGTTTTATTGCTATTGATTATATAGTCGCGTGTTTCAATTGATCGTTGTTAAGGTATTAATTGTTTTGTGTTTTTATAAAAATACGTCAAGGTGCTCGCTTGGGTTATTACTGTAGAGCTAATTTGTATTCAACTTTGGGCTTGCGAACTCGCATAATTAACTGACTAACCGTACGTGAAACGCCTCTAATTTGTTTTAACCTGAATTTTCGGCAAAATTTAGGGTGACAGCAAAGATCATGACCATTGTAAATGAAGCAACTAGCTGCAACGCCATTTCCCACAACATTTCTATCACCTTGCAGAGCTTGTCGCAGTCTATAATGAAAGACTTTTGTATATTTAAAACACCTAAGGAGAGCCAAAACCACTGCAGTGGAGAAAGAAACACTCCTTTAACTGTAACAAGGAAAATGTATGAATTTGCTTTTACATTCTACATCCAAAGGTTGATATCGTTTTCTTGAAAACCGGTAATTTATTTGGTCTGAAATCAGAAAATATTATTTCTAAAGAAAGAAATATCTTAAGCTGTAGCTATGTCGTATGGTAATTGGGCTTTCGTCGGTGTAGAAAATGATCTTTTGGCTCGGATAAAATTGCTTCACCAGTCTATATTATATAGAATATTAATTTGTAGACCAAATCATGTTTGAACTACTTGCAGCTTACAAAGAAGAATAATGACCATACCGATGTCTTAGAAAGTCAGAAGAAAAACATGGATGGTCAGGAGATAAACGAAGGAAAGGTCAAAAATGAAAAACAAGGGCAAAATGGCTCCAAACAACTGCAAGAACAAGAAAATTCACACAAATCCAAGGAAACCGATGTTGACACCAATGTTGAGCGCCTACTTGAAATACTACCTCAGTGTTCAACTTTGGAAAAACAAGAGACAGCATCGCTGGGGCAGAGCTCGAGAAATCTCCCAGAAGTTGCTGCAAGCCTTGTTATGGTAGGAGGCGAAGGACCCACTCATCAGCTCATGTCCTATGACGAACCGAAGGGAAGCGATGGAATAACCCTGACTATAGAAACAGAGGATAGGAACAGCGATGCTAATCGAAAGCAAAAGGAAATAGAAAGTTCGGAAAACGAGAAAGGCAAGTCCAAAGGTGATGCCATGAAAGTATACGTATCATCTCCAGAAACCAAACCTGGTAAAGAAGAAAACGAAAAGAGGGTACCGTCATTACCACCGATCTTTAAAGACGACCAGTTTCCTGAATCCCATAAAAGGGCCACTGTGAAAGCCTCTACAGAGCACGACGAAGGCACTTGTGACATCGACAATAAAGATCTCGTTTTTTCTGCAGATGATCTGATGAGTTTTGCGTGGCAGATTGCTAGAGGAATGGTAGGTCAAGTCTTTGCTATGGGAAAGGAATCATACGAACAAACACTAACAATACATCCGAAAATAAAGATTTTGTTTTTTGCCTTAAGTTTGATATATATTCGACAGCGACTATAACGTGAAATAGGGGCACCTCTGAAACTATCGCACGTATAGTACAACCTCACATCATACGCGTTGCACACAAACCGATAACCACTTTACGACGACGAATTACCAACGTCAAAGACAAAAGAAAAACTGGAGGACAGACAGGGAGCAGTTTACAAGATAAAAAGCTACAACTGCCAGGCTACTTACATTGGTAAGACCGACAGAAACCTTAGCACGCGACCGACTGAACACAAACGAGACTCAAGAAATGGTTATGTCAACCATCACATTGCTAAACACCATTTACAGACGAAACATCAAATCAGCTTGTATTACGTAATCTACATACTACTATCAACGACTCATTTTAGAACGCTGGTTTACAAACTTAAAGCAAATCCCACTGAATCGTAATCAACAGTTACCGGCACCATACAAGTTACAAGAGAATGACTGGACGACCGACAATTTGACTAACAATAAACGACTGTTAAACTCTGACAATAGACGGATCGAAACGCACCATAGTCTTCACAGAGTCTTCATAGCCAATAGCATTACGGCTTAATTGGCAGACGACCAATGACATCGCGACTTAATTGACCAAACAGGCCAATAATCTGAACTGACGTAATCCAACTCACTTTAACTCTGAAGATGACTCCCGCACAGGTTGTCGAAACGTCATCCAGTCACTGTCAAAAACAAGCCTTTTAAAGACTTCGTTCACCCGAACGATCAAGGTTGAAACTGCTTATGTAATGACTCCTGGGTTCACACCTTTCACAGTTAAAATAATCTGTTGCGCACAAAAAGGGGTTAAAAACTACTCAAAAAATGGCCTTACCTTGTTATGTTATGCCAGAACTGGTAAGTAAATAAACAGCTACAATAAAGATATGGGTTCAGGCAAAGCGCTAACAAGTAGCTAGAAAAGGCTAAGTTTTTATCAAACTTCCTTTAGGAATACTTGGCCAGTAAAGGATTTGTTCATCGTGATCTGGCAGCCCGTAACATCTTACTTGGTGAAAGCAAAGCTGTAAAGATTTCTGATTTTGGATTGCTACGCCGCACAGGTGAAAGTGAGATATACGAGGTGGCAACCGTTAAGGAACTACCCATAAAATGGACAGCACCTGATTCATTGCAGACTGGAATTTTTACTTCCAAGAGTGATGTGTAAGTTAAAATTAAATTTTGCAAGGTTTGTTAGGCCTGTTAACACCTACAACACAGGTATAAGAAAGAGCCACATACCAAGACAGAGAAACCTACTACTGGGTCATTTCCTTCCTATGCGTTGTTCACCATAGGCAGCTTTTGGACATTTTCCTTAATAAAAGCTCTTCTAACAGATGTTCTAAAACATTAATGGCTAACACGTACCATTATCACTTATGATCCCTTTCTTTTAAAAGGAAGGGGTATGGGTTCCAATTTACTCTAACCAAAAGAAGATTGCATACGTCCTAGCTGACGATTTTAGAGCCTGTGTTTAAACCCTTTGTTCCCAGTTACACAATAGGCCACTTGCACGATGGCGTCATTTTACAACTACTACCAGAATCCTTCAGGGCTTTGCTTTCTTGTGCAAATTATGGCTATTTGTTTTTTACACTTCATTGGGTTTACCAAATTTAAATACCAAAGAAAAAACGAAATGAATTCTCGTCTTAGAAGTAAAAAGACGTCACCGTGCAAATGGCTTATATACTGTATTTCTCTCCGTCCTCCCATGACTACCATGTAAGGGGCCACCTTCCACTGAGTAAAACTCTGTGTCATTGCATGCTTCGCTAAGAACCTCGTGATGAAGAGAATCACAGCAAGTGGTCAGCAGGCTGTTAATTTGTTCATACCAAGATACCCTTCTGAAATGTTAGCATGCAATAAAACTATTGACCTTTCCGACTACATTTGGAAAAAATGCAATTATTGATGTAAGGATTCTAAGGCAATCAAGAGTGATTTCTCTCTTCCTCTCATCCGATTTTTTTATATTATAATTTTTAAACTGTTTCACCGATTATTTGTTTTCATCATACTGTACCTTAGATGGTCCTTCGGAGTTGTTTTGTGGGAAATGGCTACCATGGGTGAGATATCTTTAATGCTTTGACTGATGTTAGAGTTATGATGATTGTCCATTGCATTTCTTTGTTTGTTTTATTAACAACGTAATTTCGTATCCAGATCTCCCGTCGACGTACCCGAAGGAGAGATCCGGTCAAATCCGTACGTTGCGTGCTCGCCGGTCAGGCGCACTGATTTATAACAAAGTCCAGATAAAATGCGCACTCTGCTTGGTTGCAAATGCATGCTATATGAGAGTATAAAACACACAGCTAAAGGTGTCGCATCATCAGCCGAAAGTTTGTTTTGAAATTAAAAAGTAATGCATGGGGAATTTAACGGATTCTTTATCATGAAACAAATAAAGAAGCCTTGACACTGTGCTCTGTTTTGTTGAAAAGCACGCAGGAAACGGCAAAAGAACGTAAGTAGGGAGAAACACTCCACTAGGTCTCCGTTTCCCCAACTATTCTTTCGTGCTCTAGCTACTTCCGGCGTGCTTTACGACAGAACAGAGTATAGTCAAAGCTTTTATATTTTTAACTGTTTTTACCTGACCTGATCTCGTACTCGTCTTCGTCGACGAGAGATCTGTGTACAAGATCACTATCAACGTTGTGAGTCAATGGTCACGCGCCACAATAACTAACAGTTCTTGACAGACGTAATGTTAGCTTAAAAGTTCTCTAAACCTTCCCCACTGATATTTAAATTGAACATTTTAGGGGGAACTCCTTATCCCAGAATCAACCATGCCCAGTTGTACAATCTCCTTAAGAAGGGGTATCGCATGGAACAACCAAACACTTGCAGTGATGAAATGTAAGTAAACTTATTGTAAATGGCTCGCAATTAATACTTGTACCAAACAAGAAACATAATTAACATCTTTTAAAAACAACATCGTTACGCTATGGGCATGATCATCTTTTAAACGTTCATAACAAAGCCGCGTTCTCGACTACTTCTTTCACTTCATCGGTAAAACGCCAGGGGTATAGTACAATATACTTCGATTGACTTTATCATGACAATCATGACTCTCTGGAAGGTACTCATGCGACTTGATTGCGACAAAAAAATCAGTGCAACTGGCGAATATAACGCCAACGCAAGTAGATCGGAGGCAGAAAAGAACCAGGCTCAACTCATTCACGTTTCTTTGAGGTCATGAACGTTAAGAACTACCCGCTATTATTTTCCTCTTTAAAACCGGGAATTCCATCTCTGCTATACTACTCACAAGGGAAATTTCGTTTTGCTGAAGTAAAAACCAAATGTTAGGTAATCTCTCTCGGCAAAACAACGTATTGTAAATAGCTTGAACCAAGAGAGGATAAAGGGGACAGAGAAGACATCCCCCATACACACCCTATTCCATAGGTAATTCGTCTCGAGTTATTTTAAAGACCACAGTTCCCAAGGGGGATTAGACGACAGCCAATCAAATAGCACGAATGAGTTCCGCGTGGATGACCCACACTCAGGCAGAACAAAATGGCGAAAGACGCGGAGAGCGATATTGCTATTCGTTTTGTCCACGAAAAAGACTACAGAGAGATTTCTGCTAAAGCTGTGTTAGCGAAACGGAAATTAAAAGAGAATCGCCCTTCGCCTCTTCTACAGAGCTAACAGCACAGCAGGGAAACCCTTAACACACTGAATAGTCTCTCAGGATCATTTATAATTTACAGTTTGAAGAGAGCAATTTCTGGTTTGATATTTATTCTTTTATTAGTCTTTTATTATTCAACAAAAATGACACTTGGCGTCCTATTTGCTTTATTGTACAACGACCGGATTCAATAAACCGGCGAAATTTCTCATGTTATTAAAGCACTAAGGTTACGACAACTTCGAGTTAAACTGATTTCACAGGTTGTCAAAGAGTCCAGCGATTCCCTTTTCCCAGGTGAGCGCCGACTCATTTCGCGTCAATATTCAGGAATGCTCTCTATCTCTTTACGCTTTCATTGCCTTTCGCCCGACATGTTTTGCACGGCGTTTAGTCATGCGAAACCCCCACGAAACATCCACGCAGCGCGCGAGGTAACTTTATCCCGATTCTAAAACTAACTCGAGACAAATTACCTATGGAATAAGGTGTGTATAGGGGGTGCCTTCTCTGTCCCCTTTATCCTCTCTTGGCTTGAACCCATTATTCGTGTCGTAACTAGGTGAAATGTGATCATTCAGTGAGTGTCTTATCGAAAAGACTGTTGTTAACAGTGATTGCGTATTCGAGAACAGTGAACATCAGAGATCAAAGTGAGTTGCGTGTCGTAGCTTGACGACAATTTTGGATAGCGTCATAATTGGCCAAGTTGAACAAAGCATAAACCAGCATAATTTTTTCTCGACAGATACAAGTTAATGCTGGACTGCTGGAGGGATGATCCGAATGAACGACCCTCATTCACCGAAATGATACCAACCCTTGAACAAATGATGACAGCTGATACCCCATATTATGATTTCACACTGTTAGATGAGAGCCAGGAATGTTACAATGATCAATGCCCCAGCACCAGCGAAACTCTCGACACTCGCTTGTGATGACTCCAAAGGGAGTCGACCTGACGTGTTACTCTGTTGACGTAGGGCTAGTTTGCAGATTACTCAGTCTAGAGTTAATTAGGACACTTTTTATCGCTACTCAGTAACTTTCAGTTAAATCTATCTAAGCTTTTGACATTATGGATGCTGTTTAGGGGCGTAGACTGTAGTGACGATCCAGTTAACGATAACAGGTGCTTCACTTCAATATTATATAGTTTTATCCGAGCCTAAAAGCGAAGCTTCCGTCTGTATACTGATAACAAAGGCAACAAACTTAAAGCCATTATTATATGAATTAAATAACTAACTTTAGTCCCCTCCTTAGGAGGGAGGGGTTAAGAGATTTAAGAAAAAACATCCTTTAACATATCTGAACATAATAATTGTAAATCAAGTTCGACCATTGTAGTAGGTCTGGAAATGAATTCTTCCCAAACTACACCACAGAGAGTCTGAGAACTCCCACCGCCACGCCAGGAGCGGGGAAGAGGAGCAAAGGATAATTTCTACATGAGCATCAATTTTTCATATCCTCATGTCATGAAAGAAAGTTCCACTCAAGTCTAAGATATTCACAAAGACCTTACTTTTAGTACTACACTTAGCCGGTGAATTCTGATTTAGATAACCAGTATGTGTTGATGCTTTTGTAATGTCACTCGACTGTTACCAAGGAGACCATGTGTAACGAGCGTGCGTGGCCCTAACAATGGTGAACTTACGCAGCAAGACGGGAGAGGAAAGAAGACGGCCAACCTTGTATTGACAAACGTGACGATAATATTATTCTTTGAAAAAACTTTCCGCCAAACTTCACCTTCCTTTAAACAAATCTTTTTGTAAAAGACCAGAAATCATAAATGTTAAGTGACGATCACGACAAAACATGCCAGTAATAGCCCTGTCACGTTTGTCACACACAAACGTTTTGCCGTCCTCTTCTTTCTGACGTCCTGTTGCGTAAACTCACCAATGTTGGAGGAGCTGTGCAAACGGATCTAACATTGTTGCGCTACGTTTCGGCGATCACGGAACTAAAGAAATGTTGGGAGTTGTTGGCTGAAAAGTTTGACCGGTTACAAACTTTGCGCAGCAACTGCCAACAACATGCAACAGGGTGAGCAAACCGACGCAACATGTAACATCCAACTCCAATGTTGCTACCGTTTGCACAGGGCTTTAGAATAAATTGCGAAGGAATTTTTACAGGTAATAACTAGCAATTTTGCATTGAGTTGAGTTTTACAAGCATGGCTGCGTCTATATAAGAGTCACAGGTGGCCATAGATTTGTGTTAAGAGCGGTTCTTTTCAAAAGCAAGAACGTACCGGTTTAGGACATTTTGATTGTTTTCTTTCGTCAGCTTCTGAGTGCTAGTTCTTGTACACATTACAATGAGCCGTACAAGCATACCTGCAAAATACGAGAACGACGAAAACTATGGTCTGTAAGCCCGTCACTGCAATTTCACTTAATCACCCAAAGGCTACACACATGTCTGACAAAATTGAAAGTTTTCAGGTGATGCGATTGCCACATTTTGTAAGGGGTACAGATCAAAAAGTAATATTTCCAAGGGGTGTAGTGAAAGGATAAAAAAAAACTTATGAAGGGAATAATCCCAGGAATGATTCTCTGAAAGGCTCAGGAAAAAACACCCCATCAATAGTGGGAAGAGGAAGGGGTGGATGTTAAGTGAAATGGCCCATTATCATCTGATACTAACCTTAACTGTAATATAACTAATGAGGCAGTATTTGTTTCCTATAGGTACAGGCCTATATTAACAGTGAATGACTTTATAGTCATTTTTCGTAATTATTCTACAGTTTGTCAACATTATCTGACTACAAAGACTGCGTGTTGTTTATTGCATTCACAGCAAAGCTAGTGCTATACATGTAATTTAGAGACAGATAATACCCTAAATTCTCTATTAAGCCCCCCTCTTAAATAAGCCCTACCTTTTCAGGGGAAGAAAGTAAATAAGCCCCCCCCTCCCTCCTATCATTCTTCACTAATAAATGATATACAGTATTAAGCAATCATAACAGTAACACTTCGAATGGACTGATTCACATGCTGGAAGTTCAGATTAGATTTTGATCCTCCGCTGCATGATCTCCAACCATCCTACTTGTGGAATGAGCTTCTACACTTGGCATTCTAGTTCTTTATGGTGAACTGATATTATCATCTTTGCTAAAATAAATATCCTCCCTTCTTAAATAAGCCCCCTGTCTCTATTAATCTCCTCCCTCAAATGTGCTTGAAATAAATAAGCCCACCCCCCCTTTCTGGGGCCCGGGGGGGGCTTAATAGAGGACTTTTTGTAGTAAACAGATGATGGCTCCATCTAGTTAACTTAACCAACCTAGCTATAAATAGATATTTTTAATTAACAACAAAGTCAAAAGCACCCTGGACAGTACACCTGCTTTACATTATAAATTTTATCATCAGATGAATTATGAGTTGATCTCTCTGACTGAATTAAATATTAGGCCAACATCTGTACTGAATGTATGTTTTCTTTTGTAATCATGTCCACAAAAGGCCAGGGGTGGCGAATGGCCCCTGGCTACTATGACTCACATATGCCAACTCTATGGTACTGCTCACCAAATCTCCCATTCGGAAAATTAAGGCAAGGGTCCTCAAAAACAGGGAGTGGTCTAATTTCTTAAGCTTTCAACATAATGCAGAATAAATTAAGAAAAGATTTCCTAGGTAAAAGTTCAAAACATGCTCTGAAAAGGGCCTTACCCTCAATGAGCAACCAACCCCTAGGCAATAATATCAAACAAGCAACCCTATCAAATAAGCAACCCCCTCCCCTTTACTTCACTTTCTTTAAAAATAGTAGGGATGCAAGATGAATGTGTCAATCTGCATTTAAAAGTTTGATGAGGATGATAATAATTGAGAATGATGAGGATGATATTCCAGATTTTTTAAACATGTCTACCAAAACATCAGTGTGTAAAGTGTGTAAAGAGGCTACAGTAAACTTACTACTAACCACAGTTTTATCAAACCAAAAACATCAATATTGCCTTCACTTAAACCTGGATGATGTGTTATTCAGCCATCTTGAAATCTTAGAGACAGCCCTGTTGAAATGGCACATTTCATTTCTATAGAAAGTTTACGTACACAGCAATGAATTATCAATACGCTATACCATAGCTTAATTATAATCAATAATCACCAGTCAATTAACTGAAAGATTTCAAAATTAAACTGACAATTCAGGCACTTGTACCCCTCTCCAGAGTAAGAAACAAGCCGCCTCCACCATATCCTGCCTCTATACCCAGTCCACAGCAAATTAAACCACATAAAGGTTGAGATCTAAGCATACTCTAATAAAATTCCCAAGTTAATTAGGTATCATGTCCGTCCAGCCCCATACAAACATTGTAAGCTTATATAAATATTTATATCTTGCTGGATTTTTGAAAACGTTACTGGCAAATGGACCTTTTCCATCAACAGCTTTAAATAATCTAAATCTAAATCTAAATATCGTTATGTCGGCAAAATCGTTTGGGACATCACGCCAACTCTAAGATAATAATAAACAAAACTATACCAGAATATACAAAACTATTAAAAACTATTAAAAAACTATTAAAAACTATTAAAAAACCACTGATAAAAAGAAAACTAAATTAGTTTGCTTTTAAAAATACAGAGGGATTGGCTGGAAACAGTTTCTTCTGGAAGTTTGTTCCATTCAGTTATTGTCCTGGGAAAAAAAGAAAATCTAAAAATATCTTTATGTCCTTTCGGTACAATAAATTTAAAATCATGGCTTCCCCGGGTTCTCCTTTCTTTGCTTGTTTTCAAATAATCCCCCCAGTCCCCATCTAGGAGGCCGTGGCATATCTTGTACATAGTGGAGAGCCTTGCGTGTCTTCTCATTGTTTCAAGTGTGTCCCACTGTAGGTCTTGCAGCATTTCCGTCACGCTCGTTGTTCGATCGTAATTTCCAGTGACAAAGCGGGCTGCTTTCCGCTGTACCCTTTCTAGAGCGGCTTTATCTTTCTGGTAATGTGGGTCCCATGCGCTACAGGCATACTGGAGTTTTGGCCTCACAAGTGTCATATACACGGTTTCTTTCACTGACTTTGGACAATTCCACAGATTTCGCTTGATAAGTCCCAAGACCTTATTTGCCCTAGATGTGATTGTTTCAGTGTGTGGTGACCACCTCATTTTGTTATCGAGCACTACCCCCAGATAAGGGTGAGATTCCACTTCTTCTAGGATTTGTCCACAAAATACGTATTCCCGCTTTGGTGGATCTCTCCTGGTTGTAAAACACATGATCTTGCACTTTGAAGGATTAAATTCCATCTTCCACTTTTGCTGCCAATCTTCTAATCTATACAAGTCCTCTTGGAGATCGACTGTGTCTTCATCACAACAAATTGTCCCATATAACAATGCGTCATCAACAAAAAGTCTAACAGTAGAGTTAAGACTATCAGGTAAATCATTTATATACATTAAGAACAGTAGCGGTCCTAAGACTGTTCCTTGGGGAACACCAGATGTCGTAACTACAGGGGCAGATGATGCCCCCTCAATTACCACGGATTGGGTACGCTGTGTTAGAAACGATTCAAACCAGTTATGTAGTGGGCCACGAATTCCATAATAATCAAGTTTCTTCAAGAGTCGGCGATGGGGAACTTTGTCGAATGCTTTCGAGAAATCAAGGATTGCGGCGTGAATTGTTTTGTTAGACTGGATAGCACTTGCTATGTCATGAACGGTACATATGAGCTGTGTTTCTGTTGATCGTTTCGCTCTAAAGCCATGTTGACAATCAGTGAGCACTCCATATCGTGAAAGATGCTTCATAACATGGCTGTGTACAATATGCTCAAGTACCTTTGATGCAATGCAGGTAAGTGACACGGGCCTATAATTTGAAGGATCCGATTTCTTTCCTTTCTTGTGAATAGCGCATACGTTGGCATGTTTCC